TGATGGTTTGCACATTTAACTGGATCCGCTTTGGGTGACATGGGACTGGTGGTCCCTGCGTCTGGCAAAATGGGGGCACTAGAGGGGGACAATCTTTGTGCTACTGTGACTTATCTTGGGGCTGAAAATCCCCTGTGACTCTGCCTGTTCCAGGAAGTGAATCCTGAGTTTTAAGAGAAGGGGGTTAATTTATCAGTGGCGTCACAAGGGGTGTGTGGCCCGCACCCGGGTGTCACCATTGCAGGAGTGACATCCCTCGCCTGACAGTATCAGGAGAGGGGACCCACCGGGTGAACGCCCCCTCCTGTCTCTGCCGGTGTCATTCACCAAGATGGCCGCTTTCAGGCATCAAACAGATGGTCGCGCATACGCGTGGTGATGTCACGCGCACGTGCGCTGACGACACAGAGGGGTGTCACCCGGGTTAGAGACCGGGTGACAACCGGCCTCATGACGCCTCTACATTTAATAAAGGCAAATCGGCTGTTCTCTTAGTGTGAATGTGATTAATATCAACTTTGCAAAGAATACCCAATGACGTGTAAGATAAATGAAAAAGGCAGTATTTTTGTTTGCATTTGATTGGATGATGGAAGCCAGCAGAGCTTCACTTCATTCACTACACTAAGGCCAAATTCACCTGAAAAGTGAACAGCCAACTCCTAGACCCCTTAGAACTGGATACAATACAGAATAGCTTCTGAAGCGAGAATAGCAGGCCTTCCAATCACGTTTTACATGATGTGTGGATTCTAGGTAAAGGGGACAGTGATAATTCGAGAAGAGTGGCTTTTTCCCTTCTGCCTGCCCCTCCGGTATGAGTAGTCACCATAATTTTATCTTTACTGCATTGGTAAATTTACCATAACATCTAACCCTAATATTCAATCCCAACACTAACACCTAACCCTAACATTTAACACTAACAACTAGCCCTAACACCCGACTCTAACATTTACCATTGGGTTTTAGGTAAAGGGACACTGATAATTCCAGAAGGGTGGCTGAGTCTTTTCCCTCCTGCCTATGCTCCTCAGCTCCATCTAGTGGCCATAAAAAATACTTATTCCCTATGCTCCTCAGCTCCATCTAGTGGCCATAATTAATACTTATTTCCTATGCTCCTCAGCTCCATCTAGTGGCCATAAAAAATACTTATTTCCTATGCTCCTCAGCTCCATCTAGTGGCCATAATAAATACTTATTTCCTATGCTCCTCAGCGCCATCTAGTGGCCATAAAAAATACTTATTCCTCCCTTATATCAAATTGATGTTCTGATGAAGGGGGCGTGCCCCGGGAAACACGTTAACGTCACCACTACACTGGTATCACCTAGTGGACATCTCACTGCTTGTCAGTCCTCACCTCATGACTTTGTGACACTCATGTTTGTGAGTATGATTCGTTTTTTTATTTATGTTTATTGAAATAAAAGTGATCTGCACCAGGAAAGGCGCCCCTTTTGTGCTTATTCCTTATATCAAATCTGATATCAAATCAAATTCAGGTATTTTTACTGCATACATTTACAAAAAAAGAAACTTAGTGGCTGATATATAAATCTTCTGCTCAGTGTATAGCTGGGCAAATATCCCATGGCACTGCCGACACTAGATAGAGCCATAGAGCATAATAAAGTGCCATACAAATGGCATTCGGGAAGCTATACGTTGGGCGGAAGTGTTACAAATTGGCCCCTTTAGGAATAAATGTACTTTTAGAGAAAAAGCACTAATTCTTTCTCCCCCCACCCCTCCCCTGACCTCACAGAGCCCACCCTACCCCTCCAAAGACAGAGATCCAGCCGTGGATCCTCCAATATTTTATTACACCCATGGCCGTAGTCCTCTTACTGTTGGCTGTGCCTGCTCAGCAAACTCCCAGAGAAGTCTATGGGCCTTGTATGTACTCCAATAGCAAAAAGTTTCCCAGCACACTCACCAGCCAGCATGCAAAAAAACTTGTCTCACCGCTAAGGTTAATAACAGAGGTTTAGATACACGTCTTCTGCAGAAAATGTAAAAGCCGCACAGGCACCTCTATATAGTGCGGTCCTAACGCTAAACTATGAGAGTCTCCATCTTGGAGCACATGGAGCAAAAGATCAAATTGGGTGCAGGCCTGTCAGGAGGAAGCCCAACCTCCCTTAAAGGCACAGGTATTGCTTGACTGATTTGGTGCAGTGACGCATGGGGGGTCTCAGCTGCCGTTGTGATGTGCGGGGTCCCTTGTGCATACCTGTGCCTTTAAGGGAGGTTGGGGAGGGGGCGGGTACAGCTGGCTCTGCCTCTAGATAGGCAGAGCCAGCTGTCACTCACGCAGCTGCGTGGATCCAGACAGAATTGTCGGATCCACGCTAGTTTGCGTCCTCCCGTTACCCTTAGGAGAACTATGGGGAAAAGCCCTAACCCCATAGTTCTCCTTTAAGGCAGTGCTGGAAAATAATGGCGGCCACACAAAATATTGACACTTTGGGCCCAATTTGTACATTTTCACTTAGGGGTGTACTCACTTTTGTTGCCAGCGGTTTAGACATTAATGGCTGTGTTGAGTTATTTTGAGGGGACAGCAAATGTACGCTGATATACAAGCTGTACACTCACTACGTTACATTGTAGCAAAGTGTAATTTCTTCTGTGTCGTCACATGAAATGACATAATGTAATATTTACAAACATGTGAGGGGTGAACCCACTTCTGTGAAATACTGTATATAATTAGTTATGGGTTCAGATAGGCTTTTGGGATATATTATTCGAAAACAGAGCTGCATTCATTTGTGCCTTTTCTATCTGCCTGAAATTTAGCTTTAAATTATTTTTTTATGCACTAATAGTAAATATGAAAAACCGCCACTTAAAAACGGAGTAGGAAAAATCAACCGTAACACAATTTAAATATGATTGAGAGCAACATAGATGTGTCCCTACAAAAAAAAATGTAATGAGTAAAATGAACAGCCGGACTCGCCTTCCATCAATACCCTACGAGTGTTTTATTGTATAACAGTTGTGCAGAATGTGACAGATGAATGATCAGAGGAATTGAACACAAACGTTGGCAATTGGTTAGTCTGGCTGGCTAGAAATTTTCAACACATTCCCCACTGTGAGAGCTGGCGGAGTTGGAATGGCAGAATCATACACACGGTCCTATGTGGTGATTGCCCAATAGCGGAAGTTTACTTTTCCCAACAAACATCATTTTCCTGGCCAAGTAACAAAACCGCAGTGAATGGCAACTCTAAAGCATCCTGGTAATAATGATGGAGGGATGCTGGAAGAGCTGATGCAGCAATGATACTGTATCATAAAATAATTAGTAAATGAGATAGTCTGCAGAAGCTGGGCAGTGTTAATCCAGAGACGTACTGCAGGCCCCTGTCATAAAAGACAGGCTGAGCGATGCGTTTTTAATGTAGGTAATTATTGAGATGAATTTTGGTGAGGTGGTTCCCAGCATTAGAGCGCAGACATTGATCTGTGATTGGGGCATCGATCCTACTGTTATATGAGAGCAGTCCAGTCATAAACTCAGCATAATGAGACAAGCTTCGCTGCAGATCTCTATAGTGCCCTTGCGCGGCCATATATCAAAATGAAAGCCAGAGACAGCAAGCAGCCGGTGCTAGGGGGAAAGAGCCGGGACAATTACAGAAAAGCAGCCTTCCACACAGCACGTATGACATCATTAGAGGCGACGGTATTTGGAGAAAGCCAGGAAATACATGGGAAGGATGGTATGGCTTAGGAGACCCTCAGACCGCCATGGGGTTGGATCTGCTCCAAGCTTTGCTTGTCATTCTAAGGCTTTGAGCCGTAACAAGTGATCAATGGAAGAGCTTTTATCGCTCACGTTTCCACCTGCAGGAAACTCTCAATGGCCATTTAAGATCTAAGAAGAGAAAGTAGTTCCGTCAGTGCACTATGCACATGTTGAGGTTGCTATCTGTCCCTGTTTGCTGGGGACAGACACCTCAAAATGGCAAATAAGCACCCCCCAGCGCTGTCCCTGGCAGCAGTGGCAGATCTAGTCTACAACTTCATGTGAGAGGCATGGCTGGCAGGACATTGGCACCATGCTGTCTGTAGGGGCCCCTTGGTAGGTAACCTTTACTTTACTCTAATATACCCAAGTCTCGAAAAAAAAAAAAAATTTGCAGGAGGTTCAGACAACCAGCAGTTCTTTCATCTGCTCTTGCGTTAGGGTTAAATGTTAAGGTTAGGTGTTAGGGTTGAATGTTAGAGTGAGGTGTTAGGGTTAGGTGTTAGTGGTAGGTGTTAGGGAGAAGCTAAAAGTCAGAGACACATTATGGGGTCGATTTATAAACAATTTGCAAAGCCATTCACCCTGTGAATCTCTGTGAACGTTTGTTCTGTACGAATAGAGGCAAGAACAAAAGTTCTTAGTATATTTTCTTTTCAGGTCGAATGTAACATTCAGAAAATAGCGCATTATGGCCGCCAGATGGAGCTGAGGAGCATAGAGCAGAATAATATTTCACATGCTCCTCATGCTGCATGCTCTATTTTTTTGTGTTTGCAGTGGACTGGAACACAGGCAATGTTTTACCACGCATCCAATCGCACTGCGGGCCGCAGCACCATTGACTTCAAGGCACCACCACGCCCCCTCCTGCCCGGGAACAAAGGGGGAAGTTGAGTGAGCGATTGCTGTGCGTTCCAGCAGCTACAGCTCTGGAACTCATCGCAATTGGTGTGAACTTGCCCTAAAACAAGATATCAGGGTCAGTGCTCAGGGGACCAGCTGATTCTGCAGGAGCAAAAACTTTACAACATCAAGGGGCCGCGTCCATTGTAATTGCTTAATAACCTTTTGACTTTGATATTACTTTATTGTATCTACTGCAAGGTCTACGTTAAGAAAACTGTTGTCACTGAAAACGACTGTAACGTCCTACAAAATGACCTTCCCGTTATAGAAAAGAAAGTATTTGTTCTGCAATGAGATTGATATTACGTTTTGCTGTCGTCTTAGATAATTGTAGATGTTTCCTGCGGCCAGCAAATGGCAAGTGACACAAACACAGAACGTTTCATGCCGGGGACATGCAGACCACCTCTCCTCGTTCCCTGCGCAGGAAGCACCGCCGAGCATCTGTGGTTCACCACTCATGCTACATCCCTCCTGCTCCCTCCATCCAGCCTTCAACATCACGATTCTCGCCCATTAAGTAAACCCTGCAGGGCATTGCACCATAAACCTGCTCAGTGCCACACAGCCAGGAAAGCATCACTCAAAGGTCACTCTTGTCACCTCATCAACATGTCATTTAGCGACATTTAAAGGTCAGCAGTCAACTCAAAGCATTAAAATGAAGGACAGCGTGTGACACGGGGGTAATGTGATGTCCTGTACACCAACAATGTGACCCAATGGCAGGGGAGTGTCACTGATGTATGGAGTCCGCCTACACAATGGTTATGTGCGTCCCGAGAACAATTATATACGTTCCATGCTGGAGGCTGACTTTGTATTGCGGAGGATGAGCGGTTTTATATATGATTGTTATGCACTGTACAATGTATAGAACCAGCAGATGATGGAAATGCTTCAGTTTTAAGTGAGCATCTCCAAAGGGTAATGCAGATAGATGGGATCAAGGGGGACACAGCATTCGGATACAACGATGGGACTTTTGTTGCAAGAAGGGTTGGCGTGTGGAGCGACAATCCCAGTGCTGGAGAGCTGAGCCTGCAAGCATGAGGCTAAGCTTACTTATAGAAGAGTTAATGATAGGGTTACAGGGAGCTACTGGAATGATTAGGGTTACAGGGAAGGTTAGTGCTAGGATTATAGAGAGGGTTAGGGTTACAGGAAGAGCTAGTGTTAGATTAGTGACAGGGGGACAGGAAGGGTTAGTGTTAGGGTAATGTTAGGGCTACAGGAAAGGTTGGTGTTAGGGTAACAGGGAGGGTTAATGTTAGGGTTTTAGTCAGGCCTGGATTTCCCACAAGGCCACCGAGGTCCGGCCTCAGGGCGGCAGAGGGGCGGCAGCGGTGACCTTGTGGGGAAGTTGCGGGCGCCGGTGTAAGGTATTTAGTTACAGTAGGGTTACAGGGAGAACAAGTGTTAAGAGTTAGTGATAGGAGAACATGAAAAGTTAGTGTTAGGGTTACATTTAGATTTAAAGTTACAGTGAGGGGTAATGGTAGAGTTAGTGATAGGGGAAGAGGAAGGGTTAGTGTTACGGTTAAAGTGACATTAAACCCTCAGATTTTTTTACATAAACCAATACTGTAATGTGCGCCTTACTGTAATCCATGGTTGTTTCCCTTCTCTTTGCTGCTCTTCCTTTTAAATCCTCATGTCTTCTCATGCTGGGGGAGAACTTCCCTTTGCAGCTGAGTGCCTCTTCCTGTAGTGCTGGCTCAGGTTGTGAACCTGCACACATACACCATGTATCCATTTCAGAGACAAGGCAGTCTGCTGCAAAACAGAAGTTCTCCCCAAGCATGAGAACAGATACAGATTTAAAAGGAAGAGCAGCAAAGAGAAGGGAAACAACCATGGATTACAGTAAGGCACACATTACAATATTGTTTTATGTTAAAAAATCTGAGGGTTTAATGTCACTTTAAGTAGACAGTTAGTGTTTGTATTACAGTTAGGTTGAGAGTTATGGGGGGGTTAGTGTTAGAGTTACATTTAGATTTAAAGTTGCAAGGAGGGGCAATGGTGGAGTTAGTGATAGGGGAACAGGAAGGGTTAGTGTTCAGTGGAAAGTTAGTGTTTATAGTACAGATAGGTTTAGAGTTACAGGGAGGTTAGTGTTAGAATTACTGGGAAGGTGGGTTAGTTTTAGGGATACCAGAATGGTTAGGGTTACAAGGAAGATTAGTGATAGGCTTATAGGTAGGGTTACAGGAAGTGTTAGGGTTACAGGGAGGGTTAATGTTAGGGCTACAGGGAAAGTTAGTCTTAGGGTTACAGGAAGAGATAGTATTAGATTCGTGTTAGGGGAACAGTAAGAGTTAATGTTAGCATTAAGTGGAAAATTAGAATTAGTGTTAGAGTTAGGTTAAGAGTTACAGGTCCCCACATCTCCTATTTGCTGCCTGTTTCAGAGATGCAACAGGAAGTTATAGGAAATCTCTTCAAAGCGAGGGGAAATTCCCTCTTGGTCAATTGCCATTGACGTTCCCGACAGAAGATTTCCCGTCACCTCTTGTTCCTGTGACAATTTTGAATTTATGGATTTCCAGTCACTCTCTGTATTGCAGCCAATGGTCACCAGAATGGGGGAAGTACACCTCCCCAGTGAGGACACAGACACCAATAAAAATCCGACTTCTTTCTTTATACCAAACCAAGCAAATGTTGGCTTTTACTGGGCATTTAGGGTTCAATGACCTCTGGTCTTGAAATGGTTAAAAGAACGCTCCCAAACCAATGCCTGTGTCTTTGGATCACTGACACCGTCCTTCCAATGATCTGATATCAGGTTAAATATGACAATCTGACATGAGAAAGAAATGTGAATGATGAAATTAGAGGACACAAAAAACCTGCAGCTTTGTATGAGTTGGCTGAGCGTCATCCCGGACCACCTCCAGCAGGTGACCCTTTGATTGCAAACAGCGAACTAATACAAAGGAGAGAGAAGTCAATGGTGGATGCACAATGCTGGTAAATCAGAAGAGATCACACCGCCAATCACATTCTGATTCTCTATAGTTCTAGAGCTCCATGGGGGCCTGAAATGGACAATGCAACCGGTTGATATTGAAATCAAGAACTGCACTTCTAACATTTCTATGCAGGAGGCCGTAGTCCTAAAGCCTTTTTAAAACTTTATTCAGTCCTAGGAATACATTAATGGTGACGCCCTCAGGACACTTTACCACTTTCCATAGCTCCCAACGGCACCCTCATTATGGAGCCAAACCTCTCTGTCCCTCTTCTGTTCTCATTGCCCCTCTGCTGGGTCTAATTTATAGACCTCTATAAAAGGTCATCACTAGTCTGTCTAGGAGGTTTGATCTGCAGCTGCCCCATTAGCATTTGACCGCCCTCTTCTAGTGCCCACAAAGCTGTTGTCCACTCCAGTAATGCAAAGCTGAATAACTTTTATTAACATCTTCACACTGGGGAGAGAGGGTATAGGGATCCTAGACATCCCGGGTGTAACAGACCTAGACTCCAGACTCACCAGACCTTGTTAGCATCTCAGTGTAGATCCACATGGAGTACAGCAAATAGCAATTAAAGTATCAGGATGAGCAGGAGATGAGCACAGATCCTCAGCAGGAGAGACACCAGCCATGCTCCAGAGGTCCTCTATGTTCCAGGCGCCTCCAGCAGACATCAGCTTCTCTGGTTCTCCTCCTCTGGCAAGACAGCACATGCCTCCTCCATACTGGAGGTCTAGTGAAACTCTTCCCGTACACCAGCCTCTGCCCACCCCCAGGCCTCAGACCTAGCCTGGGGGGTGGCTGGACAGCATCCAGCCCTAATCCCTGGCTGGTCCTGACTAGTCTCGAACTGAGCACATGGCAAATCCCTCCAGTATATGTACCCTATCCCAGCATGCACCACTGGTTGAGAAAAACCCAGTGATTGGCTGCTGTACTGTACATACACTTACAATGCCTCCCATTGGCTGTCCCACAATATAGCAGACTCACACTCCACCCAGGGGGTAGAATCAATGCCAGACACCTGGAATTAACCAGATAAATTCCACTATAATCCAACCAGCCCTGACAATCACTAAATGTCTAGTAGCCACACCACAGAAGGTGGTGGGGCTACACAATTTAACTAAAAAAGGTTCACTACTACACTGACAAGGTCATCCAACCCCTAGATTATTGCATTTGTTATAAGCACTTGTGGGTTTAACCAATCATTATTTTTGTATTTAATAACCTGGGAATATAATGGGCCCAATATACGATACACAGCAAAGTGCTTTGCACACTGCACCGAGTTTATAATTCATTTTATGTAAAATATTAGCTACACAGAGTGGATGGGGAATCCATACCTCCCAACTTTTTGAAATAATAGGAGAGGGGGACACCCATTAGCAAAAAGTGTGTAGGCAAAGGACACCCCTCTCACCACCACGTGAAAGTTATAGAGTAGCCCAACACTTTTGGTTGCTATGCTAAGCATGGCACTTATTATGGAGGTCTACACATCTATCTAAAAGAGAGACAGTTGAGGAGGAAAGAGGGACAGGGGGATTTAGTTCCAAATGTAGGACAGTTCAGAGGTATGGGAATCCTCTGCCCCTGGTCTATTGGTCTATTTATATAGCGCCAACAGTTTGTGCAGCACTTTACAATATAAGGAAGACATTACAATCACAAGACAATTCAAGACAAGATGGTAAGGAGGGCCCTGCCCCTGAGGGTTTACCTGAGGGCCAGTGATAGATGAGGAGGTAGCTGTGTGGGGATGAATTGTTTGAGAACGTAATGGTTGAGTAGTTAGGTTGAGGTGGGATAATCTTCCCTGAAGAGATGAGTTTTAAGTGATCGCCTAAAGGCAGTAAAGCTGGGAGACTGATGGACAGTTTGGATTAAAGAGTTCCAGAGGATGGGAGAGACTCTAGAGAAGTCCAGGAGGCGAGCATGGGAGCAGTTGACAAGGGAGCTGGAAAGCAGGAGGTCATTGGAAGAGCGGAGGGGACGGTTAGGGTGATACTTTGAGACAAGGTCTGAGATATAGACGGGGGCAGAGAAGGATTTGCCCCATATGTATGGCCAGCTTAAGACCTCTGTGAAACTGCGTAGTTAGACCCTCTGTGGTTCTCCATTTAGGGGACATTTTCCAGGCAGAGGTGAGTTAAACCAGATTGTCCTCCCCATTAGATTATCTTTTTCTTCCAGTCTCACTCCCAGCCATGTGCTCTCCTTGGAAAATTGCTTATTTGCTGTAAACAGAACTTAGCATGAGCAAACCCATGAACCTCCTCCCAGACCTATCTCTGGTACTGCTCTGGTGCCAATTGCACAATTACCCGCTGTACCCAAAGGACAATAAGTGTTCGACTCGGAATAATAATGCTATTTTACTTAATGTTTCCAGTGAAAGCCCTCTAATTGCGGTTTCTACTTTTGCCCTTTCGACAGCGGCCAGCCGAGTGGCTGACAAAGGCCGGCGACGCTCTCTAGTGACGCTACACCAGCACTGCATGCGAGAGAGCGTCAGCTGCTGTACAAGGATGAGTCCCCAGCATGGCCATGTGGAGGAAGAAGGGTTAATGTCACTCTGTCGGGCCCTGGCGAGGAACCAAGGCTTGTCATAGATGCCATGTCAGGAGCTCTTGATGGATCCCAGACGCACGGGGCGTTGATGGAAGATCTGCATTGTGAAGCAGTCCCTGCTAATATTTTATTGACAGTAACATTCATTTCCAGTCATTTCCTAACTGCAAATTTAATCCTGACAAGCCGGACCCGGGTCATTTATCCCATAAAAACATGCAATTCGCGGGCATTTGTCCCGATTACATGGGCCGTGGTAATGACAGGACCCCGGGTCAGGGAACCCATAAATAAAAAGAGCTTCTATTATCTTCATAAGATGATGTTTTTCACTTGCAAGAAAAATCAGTCGGAATTCGCAAACCGCAGCAGGAAGGATGAATAGTGAAAGATGGGAATTCATTAATACTCTGATGGGGCATATTTGTTACAATATCACCATGTGGGTTCACAGTGTTCATAGGGCAACAGAGAAGGCAATGGTGGCCAAAAAACAAACATTTATTATATTGCAGATTACCCGTCATTAGATGTGGTGGCTGCATTAGTTTTCATTTTTTCAGGCTTTTTCCCCCCCTTTTTATTTTCAACTAGTGATCCTGCGAATAACACACTTCCTGTCCCTGGGTGGCTACGTTTACTCCTCCACTGTATCTATGGAGGCAGCCATGGTTGTCAGCCAAGGCTGGACATCATACGTGTCGGCCATTGTTCACTTCCATTAAATTAGGGAGTTTAAGATTAGGATGTGTAATACACAGAGTACAGGGGTCAGGGGTCTGTACTTCACAGAGTACAGGGGTGGGGGGTCCATAATGCACAGAGTGCAGGGGTCAGGGGTGTTTAATACACATAGTACAGGGGTGAGGGGTATGTAATGCACAGAGTACAGGGGTCAGGGGTGTTTAATACACAGAGTACAGGGGTGAGGGATATGTAATGCACAGAGTGCAGGGGTGATGGGTATGTAATGCACAGAGTGCAGGGGTCAGGGGTATGTAAAGCGTAGAGTGCAGGGGTCTGTAATACACAGAGTACAGGGGTGGGGGGTCCGTAATGCACAGAGTGCAGGGGTCAGGGGTGTTTAATACACAGAGTACAGGGGTGAGGGGTATGTAATGCACAGAGTGCAGGGGTGATGGATATGTAATGCACAGAGTGGAGGGGTCAGGGGTGTTTAATACACAGAGTACAGGGGTGAGGGGTATGTAATGCACAGAGTGCAGGGGTCAGGGGTGTTTAATACACAGAGTACAGGGGTGAGGGGTATGTAATGCACATAGTGGGGGGGTCTGGGGTGTGTAATACACAGAGTGCAGGGGTGGGGGTATGTAATGCACAGAGTGCAGGGGTCAGGGGTGTTTAATACACAGAGTACAGGGGTGAGGGGTATGTAATGCACAGAGTGGGGGGGTCTGGGGTGTGTAATACACATAGTGCAGGGGTGGGGGTATGTAATGCACAGAGTGCAGGGGTCAGGGGTGTTTAATACACAGGGGTGGGGGGTATGTAATGCACAGAGTGCAGGGGTCAGGGGTGTGTAGTACACAGAGTACAGGGGTGAGGGTATGTAATCCACAGAGTGGAGGGGTCAGGGGTGTTTAATACACAGAGTACAGGGGTGAGGGGGATGTAATGCACATAGTGGGGGGGGGGGGGGTCTGGGGTGTGTAATACACAGAGTGCAGGGGTATGTAATGCACAGAGTGCAGGAGTCAGGGGTGTTTAATACACAGGGGTGAGGGGTATGTAATGCACAGAGTGCAGGGGTGATGGATATGTAATGCACAGAGTGGAGGGGTCAGGGGTGTTTAATACACAGAGTACAGGGGTGAGGGGTATGTAATGCACAGAGTGCAGGGGTCAGGGGGGTTTAATACACAGAGTACAGGGGTGAGGGGTATGTAATGCACATAGTGGGGGGGTCTGGGGTGTGTAATACACATAGTGCAGGGGTGGGGGTATGTAATGCACAGAGTGCAGGGGTCAGGGGTGTGTAATACACAGAGTGCAGGGGTCATGGGTGTTTAATACACAGAGTACAGGGGTTGGGGGTATGTAATGCACAGAGTGCAGGGGTGTGTAATACACAGAGTACAGGGGTGACGGGTATGTAATGCACAGAGTGCAGGGGTCAGGGGTGTGTAGTAAACAGAGTACAGGGGTGAGGGGTTTGTAATGCACAGAGTACAGGAGTGAGGGGTGTTTAATACACAGAGAACAGGGGAGGGGGTATGTAATGCACAGAGTGCAGGGGTCAGGGGTGTTTAATACACAGAGTGCAGGGGTCAGGGGTGTGTAATACACAGAGGTCAGGGGTGTGTAATACACAGAGTGGAGGGGTGAGAGGTATGTAATGCACAGAGTGGAGGGGTCAGGGGTGTGTAATACAGAGTACAGGGGTGGGGGTATGTAATGCACAGAGTGCAGGGGTCAGGGGTGTGTAGTACGCAGAGTACAGGGGTGAGAGGTATGTAATGCACAGAGTGGAGGGGTCAGAGGTGTGTAACACACAGAGTACAGGGGTGGGGGGTATGTAATGCACAGAGTGCAGGGGTCAGGGGTGTGTAGTATGCAGAGTACAGGGGTGAGGGGTATGTAATGCACAGAGTGCAGGGGTCAGGGGTGTTTAATACACATAGTACAGGGGTGTGGGGTATGTAATGCACAGAGTGCAGGGGTCAGAGGTGTGTAGTACGCAGAGTACAGGGGTGAGGGGTATGTAATGCACAGAGTGCAGGGGTCAGGGTGTGTAGTACGCAGAGTACTGGGGTGAGGGGTATGTAATGCACAGAGTGCAGGGGTCAGGGTGTGTAATACACAGAGTACAGGGGTATGTAATGCACGGCGTGCAGGGGTCAGGGGTGTGTAGTATGCAGAGTACAGGGGTGAGGGGTATGTAATGCACAGAGTGCAGGGGTCAGGGGTGTGTAGTAAACAGAGTACAGGGGTGAGGGGTATGTAATGCACAGAGTGCAGGGGTCAGAGGTGTGTAAAACACATAGTACAGGGGTGAGGAGTATGTAATGCACAGAGTGCAGGGGTCAGGGGTGTGTAGTACGTAGAGTACATGGGTGAGGGGTATGTAATACACAGAGTGCAGGGGTGTGTAATGCACAGAGTAGAGGGGTGGGGGTATGTAATGCACAGAGTGCAGGGGTCATGGGTGTTTACTACACAGAGTACAGGGGTGGGGGGGTATGTAATGCACAGAGTGCAGGGGTCAGGGGTGTGTAGTACACAGAGTACAGGGGTGAGGGGTATGTAATGCACAGAGTGAAGGGGTGAGGGGGTATGTAATGCACAGAGTGCAGGGGTCATGGGTGTGTAGTACGCAGAGTGCAGGGGTGAGGGGTATGTAATGCACAGAGTGCAGGGGTCAGGGGTGTGTAGTACGCAGAGTGCAGGGGTCAGGGGTATGTAATGCACAGAGTGCAGGGGTCCGGGGTGTGTAGTACGTAGAGTACAGGGGTGAGGGGTATGTAATGCACGGTGTGCAGGGGTCAGGGGTGTGTAGTATGCAGAGTGCAGGGGTGAGGGGTATGTAATGCACAGAGTGCAGGGGTCAGGGGTGTGTAGTACGCAGAGTACAGGGGTGAGGGGTATGTAATGCACAGAGTGCAGCGGTGAGGGGTATGTAATGCACAGAGTACAGGGGTGGGGTTAGCTAAAGCATCAGCACAGCAGACATGTTCAGATTTGGGGCTTGGCTTGTCTAGCTGAAACCTTAGACAAAGCTGACAAGACAACGCGTTCACATTGGTGTGTGCATTTCAGCTTGAGGTATTGAGTGCAGCGGTGTCACAGGATTTTTAAACAAAAGGGCGACGAGATACATGAAAGGGCATCTAGGGTCAAACACTAAAAAGAAATCTTTATTTCTATATTGAATTGTCATGTCTATCCCGCTCCTAATAACCAGATCCATCTAGAAGATTCTTATTGAAGATGCCCCATAGGATGGACTTCCTCAATGCACTGACACCATATCACTCAGCCTAGTGCATATGAATATGAACTTCCTGGTGTCACCACTTTCACAGAGCCTGCCTTCTGAACTACAACTCAACATCTGAACAATGTAACATCATCAGTGCTTGCTGGAAGCAATGCATGATGGGAGATGTAGTGTTAAGAAATGGAGATTGCAGCACATCAAGCAGCAGGGAAAGAGCCGCAAAGCACACTGGGAATCCAGGAAGTTGTTGGAAGTGATGGGCAGATGGAAGGCGGTATTCTATTGAAAGCTCCAACTCCTCGAGTTCCCCAACCATCTGACTTCCGGTTTAGTTAGAAGTAAGAGGTGTGGCCGAGAAGGCTGTACTGCACATGCGCCACCCGCGGCACTTCCGCATACACATACCACACAACAATAAACTATTGAAATGAACTAGGGTCACACTAATCCAGCATGTTATTAATATGAGTTGCCCCACTCAATATGGCCGCAAGTGACGGCCATATTCAATGGGGCAACTCAGATGAATAACGTGCTGAATACAAACACTAACACTATGAGAGAGGAGGGGACGTTCACCCGGCGGGATGAGGTATGCCGCCAGGTCCCCTCCTCTCTCCTGACTTTTCATAGGGGATGACACCAAAATGACTGTCAGTCATTTTGGTGTCACCCCTCCAATGGTGGCACCCGGGTGCGGGCTGCACCCCCCTTGTGACGCCACTGCCCTCCCTTACTATATCTAATACTACTTTAAGTGACAACATAGACACATCACACAGGCTGTGACCGCACACATTTTGTTTTCTGTTCCTCCTTACATTTATTGTTATAATCAGGTGACAGGTCAGGTGATCAGGTTAGTTGGAGCAGATCAGGCGGCAAAGCAGATGTTTAAAGGAGAACTATGGGGTCAGGGCTTTTCCCCATAGTTCTCCTAAGGGTAACGGGAGGACACAAACTAGCGTCCTCCTGTCACCCTAAGCTCAGTATATAGGGAGCTACAGCTCGCGGTATACTGAGACGCCGCAGCGAAAGCGGATCCCGACAATTATGTCTGGATCCGCCCAGCTGCGTAAGTGA